GTAAATGGTATTAACTACTGTTACATGTAACACGTAGCATATCACATTTTTTGAAATTTCAATTTAGCGTTGCAGCTCTCATTTAGCTCGTTGATATTCTATTTTCAATTGATGCTTCTGACAGAGCAATGCAGATCTGTTGTTTGGGGGGATAACAATTGTTTGTGGAATTTTGGGAACCATTTCCGGAGGCCTCATTCTTGATCGCATGAATGCTACAATATCCAATGCTTTTAAGGTGTGTCTGCTGTATAATGTGAAAACCATATGTGAATGTTTTCACTTATGATTTTATCAAAAAGCTTCGTCAGTTGTTTGGGTTGAGGAAGTTTAGAGAAGAGAAGTGCAATAGAGAACAATTGCAGGAGAGACGTTTAAAAGAGTGATAATATATCATTTCTTATTTATCTCCCAACTTATGTCTCTAAGTTCATGATTGATTCATAGATAAAATACATACTATGGCTAAGATATTTGGAGAGAGATGAAACTAACCAATACATTTCCTCACAATTCTCCTCCTGTCTCTAACTACATGATAGATACATAGAAAAAAGTTCTATAATTTAAAATGATCTCATTCTCTATCTTCAATTCCAATAAAAATGGGAAATTTTATTTCACTTCTAATTGCTTGATTTAACTTATCTCCCATTGTAGATCTTTCTTCTACACTTTTATTGTTGAAAGCACTTTAAAGGAAGGAAAAGTGAAAAACAATCTGTTGCATGGGTACCTTATTTATTCAAGTTCAAAGAGAGTTTGCCATTCTATTAAAATAATGTGCTTTCTATCTAATTCAGATGAACTAACTAATCAGCTAAACATGAAATTCTCTTTTTTCAGCTAGTTTTATTAATTAGTATATAATTTCTGCCTTTTCAATTACAGCTTCTTTCTGGTGCAACGTTTCTGGGTGCAATACTCTGTTTCAGTGCCTTCTGCATGAGTAGCTTGTCTGGTTTCATAGCTCTTTTCTCAGTGGGTGAATTACTTGTTTTTGCAACACAGGTAGTATTTATAAATATGAATTGTTTATGTTTATACCTATATTGCTTGTTGGCTTGATATTGTCATGGAGGTGCATTATTTAGATTTTTATCTGTTCATTTTTGGAATACTATTATCGATCAATACTGACCAGTTACTTTGTTTTAATTGTTCTGTCAAAACATCTTTCATGCTGTAACTTGGTTTTGTAGGCTCCAGTCAATTATGTGTGTCTCCATTGTGTCAAACCAAATTTGAGACCATTATCTATGGCTATCTCTACTGTCTCAATCCACATATTTGGTGATGTGCCTTCCTCGCCACTAGTTGGGGTGCTCCAGGTGTGTTTTCTGACATCTTTTGAGACATCTTATATACAGTCAAAGTGTATGACTTTGCCTATTATTCTTGTATGCTCAGGCTTAAATCTGCTTAAGCATCTGTGTTTTCTTCTCAGTATATAGTATTTCTTTATTTTGACATGCTAAATATAATGTCCAGGATCATATTAACAATTGGAGGGAAACAGCACTTATTCTTACATCTGTATTCTTTGTTGCTGCTGCAATATGGTTTATAGGTAACTATTATCAGTTCATTGTGCTGCAATATGGTGTAAAGATTCGACAATTATTTCTAGGCCAGACCTCGTTTTTGCACCTTGCACAATATATTTTTCTGCAGCTAACATCCTCTATAATTCACTCTTCATCAACACCCTCTGTAATTTGAAACTCATAAAAAACCTCAAATTACCAATAAAATCAGGGTGCAAATAGGGTGTTTGACCATTAATTTTTGGGTTTTTTTATGGGTTTTAAATCATGGAAGGTGTTGACGGTAAAAAAAAATAATGTGTAAGGTGCAATAGGGGGTTATATATTCTTTCTATCTCCTTCAACTTTGTATCATTGAAACCTCCCATATCAGTTCTTGGAAAGCCTGCTGATGAACTCAAAACGTACAAAACATAGATAGTTCAAAGGAGACCAGTTAGCGAATAATGCTCTTATGTCTTTACCAGACTCAATGGTTCGTTGGCACGTCCGTCTAGTATAAGAACAGAATGATAGTCCCATCTGACCTAGAATTTATGTTCATAAATTGTCACAGGTGTTTTCATAAGAAGTGTTGATATGTCTAATGATGATGGGGAAAATCAAGGCACAGAGATCAACAAGCAGCCATTGCTTGGTGGTAATGAGGATGGCAGCTGTTGCGAGGCATAGATTTTCAACCCTGCATTGCATACAACTCTTGTGCTTCCAAATGTAAAGAAAAATGTAGGATTTCCTTGTACATGTGTTTTCTGGTTATCTATATAGAAACCATATGTAGCTCAATTTCTCAGGGTAGTAGTTTGCTCCTATCGAGCAGAGCTACTCTTTCTGCTGTTGATATCAAGAAGAGTGGGGAAGAAACAAAGTGAAGTTACTCACACCACTCAAGAGTGGTACCCATTTTCACATGTTATGGTGGAAAACTGGAAGATTACTAGTGTGGAATCGTCTGAAGTTGAAAAAAAAAAAGAAAAAGAAGACCTGTATCAACTTCAACTTGAGTGTATGACAGTTTGAGTTTCGACATTTTACATCACGCCTTCAATATCAGTTGCATGGGGGACTCCATTTTTTTTTTTCTCTATTCTACTGGTTTTTTTTTTTAAATCTTAGGTTGCTTTCTTGTCCTTTAATTTATTTTATTTACATGTTAAGTACTTTAAATTTAGAAAAGATTATTATTGAACTAACTGCTCTTTATTTGTGATCTTTTCATGATTTAATGTGTAATATTTAAATAATTAACTTACTCCATTATTCATACGTGACGCTTTTAGAATTCTTATTTTCTCTTGAAAGGAAATTTTTGCTCAGCTAATGCTCTCTATTTGTGGTCTTTTCTTACTTAATTAAGTGTGTAATACTGTAATAATTATCGATGGACAGGGAATATTTTCAAGTTTTTCGTGGACAGGTT